TTTCTAAAAATCAAAACCATACATAGCCTAAAGAATATTTTGAATAGAGTCATTTTTTACGTTGGTAATATTTAATTATTTTGTAATCTTACGACATCTCTTTATTATAAAAGGCCGTCTTGATACCAGTCTCATTTTCGGTTTTATAATTTACCAAAAATTTTAAAAATATTATAAAAATTGTTGAATAATTTTTTGAATTTATAAATGGTATGTCTTAGTTTGAAATTTGAGGAAAAAAAAACGTAAAATTCAAAAAATGAGTTACTTGGTCTTTTAAAATTTCAACGAAAATTTAAAACATTTTCCACAATATTTTTTTTAATTTAAATTTTTTTCAAATTACATATTTTTTTTCAATTAATTCCTTTTCAAATAATTTTTTTTACTCAAACTAAATTATTTTTCTAACAGAAATTTTTTTTCCAATTTAATTACATATAAGCACAGAATGGAGGAGGCAAATTAGTATGCTATACTTTAAACCTAAGAAGGGGATTTAAATATATTTCTAAAGTGAGGAGGTGAGGTCAATGTGAATAATTACATCTTAAAAGTGATAGGTAAAATTGTATGTTTCTTAAAAAAAATTAAATTTTGTCTCTGAGAGAGACGAATTGTATGAAGACTATTTAAACCTCAGGGAAGGAGAAGTAATTTTTCAAAATGTGCAGGGGAAGAACTGTAATAAATATAAACCTTCAGGAGGTGTTCAGTGTAATTACCCTACAATTTATATATGCATCATTCATATAAATGTGCGATATGGTGAAAAAAATATTACTTTTAACCATTCGATAATAAATTTGATTCCGTCTGCATTAATATATATTGAGATTCACCTCTTACCCTATTAAAAAATACACTTAATAAATCTAAATTTTATTGAACCTTTAAATATCTTTTATAACAAATTTGTCTAGAAAAATATTTAGCGGATGGTTGAAATGTGTGACTCGAATATTCGAATATATGTCGTTTTATTCCTAAAATGACATCGCCCCCATTTTGAATATTAGGCCATTCAAGGCAAAAAAATTCAATTACCAAACTATTGTTGTTTTTGTATGGGTAATTACACTAAAGCGTCCCTAAGTCATGGCTGTATCACTTTGGTCTCCTGACTTTTCAATGTGACACATCATGACCATAAATTTTGATTTTAGTTCAAATAAGGACAATTAATATACATACTCAATTTCAGAGAGCAAAATCGTCAATTTGAAAAATATAACTAATTTGACAAAAATAAATGTCAAAAAATATTTTTAAATTTTAAAAATATTTATCTACCACCAATGATCAAATTATGTTAAATTAGATCAAATTTTACACATTTATCTTATTTATTTTTCTACCAAATTATTATTTTACATGTTTGGATGATAATCATGCTAATGAGCGGCATTTTTATTTCATTAAATTAATTTATATTTTTTCAAAAGTTAAATAGGCGACAACTTTGATATCATTATTAAACCAGCCCATAAATCAAAAAAATTTAAAACTAAAAACATTTACATATATTTAAATAATATCGATTACACAATAAACAAGCAAACCACCCATTACATGGATTATCATCAAACATCATAAAAAAATTGATTTGGTAAAAAATTAAATGTGTAAAAGTTATCAAATTTTATATAATTTTATCTTTGGTGCGTAGAAATAATTTTAAAAATTTAAAAATATATTTTGTTGGACATTTATTTTGTTAAATTAGTTTATTATTTATCAAATTGAACGGACTTTAGCCCTTGAAAATTGAGCAAAGTATCTTCAAGTGCTCTTATTTAAAAAATAAAAGTTAAAATATCGAAATTAATTCATAATTAAAAAATTAAAGATTAAAATACAAATCTACACTAGGCGACTATTTAATGTTCGCCATTTTTGTATATATCAATACTCTCCTCCCCTGTTAGTATGCTTCTTGCCAAACAGCCTGTCTACACCCTTCTTTTTGTAGCACGTGCCATGTTTTAACATTCTCAGAGTTATGACCCATTGGACCACAATTCCCACGTGGCTACGCAACATTTTGCGGCCGTGCCACATGTAGCTAGTTGTGGACCACCCTTATATACATACTAGTACTCCCATTTTGTTTGAAAACCGACGTTATAACAAGTGAATTCAAGAGTGTTTTTTTTTTGTTTTTTTTAAAAAAGAAATGGACCCACTTTTTTAATTATTTAAAAAGAATTAAGTATACATTTTAAAATCAGATTTAAAAATAATAATTCTTAAATTAAATCACTTTTTAACATGTAATTTCAAATTGTATTTCAACATTGTGATTTCAAATGAAGTGCATGTTATGAAAATACAAATTTAATTTAAAATTATACTGTTTAAAAAAATAGGTTGATTTCCAAATAATTTAAAATGAGTTAATTCTCTAATTTAATTTTTTAGAATATTAAAAAAACTCGTAAATTCAATAGTACATTTTTATTTTAAAATCAAAACATTTCATAAAAATAAATTTATTTTATAAAACTTAATATCTATTCCATATGAAACTTTCTTAGAAAAAACATAAAAAAGAAAGGGTTTTAAGCCTTGAAATCAAATAAATTTGAGTTTTTCATTTTGTTAATTTTAAATTAAATGTTTTATTTACGTTTTATTTAATCATTTGTCTATTTTCGTAAATATAGAATTGACAAAAAAATAATATTTAATCTCATTATACTCAATATACATGTTTGCCCAAATGATGATATATATATATAATATAATATCTTTTTTATTGAGTCTTAAATGATTAAGAAATATATTTTTATAAATTAAATAAACAAGATAGTTTAATTGAAATAAAATTTATTTTAAATTTAAATTAACCAAAATAAAGAATACAAATATATTTGATATAAGACGACTCAAAGTTATAATTTTTTTATAAGTTTTAATTTTTTTTTTTTATATAAATAAAGTTCTCTTTTTCAATAATTTCACGTCCTTATCTTCAATGGAGATATCTCTTGAAGGGCTCAACACTTTTTTTTAATGATTTTTCTCTTTTCCCTCCTTGTTCTTTTGTGAAATGTTATCGTGTTACTATTATTATTATTTTTTTAGATAAATTATATTATTTTTTTTGCAATTTAAAAATATATATAATAATTCTTATAATTTTGATATAATTAAATTAGATTTTTTTAATATTTTAATTCACTTGACATTAAACTCTATTTTCATTAATAAATCGTTATTCAAATGAATGAAAAATAATGTTATCATCTCTATTATATCAAAATGTAAAATTATTCTTTAATATTATGTCTTTAGATCTTCTGCATTAGTTTCTGGTCATTCAACATTACTAAATGGGAAGTTAGCGTAATTATGTTAAAATTGTGAGATTTGTTGTATTTTTTCAAACTTTAAGGGAGGTTAGTATAATTTATCTTCTTTGTTTTTTTGTTTTTTTTTTCAAATTTTTAAGGAGTTAAAGGTGAAAATAAATTGAAGGGAGAAAACAGAAAGTTACAAAAGGAAGAAGAAAGGAAAGGGAAGAAAAATTATAATAAAAAGTAGGCATGCCATGAGAATGTTGGTCCAGTACTTAAATTTAATCATCTGAGAAATGATAGTGATACAGTTAAGAAAAATACGGGTGTTTGGTTCACAGGTTGAGGATTCTTTCCAGTCCGGTCTGATGTATTGGCCATGTTTGGTAGGGTTTATTTTTAACTTATTTCAGTTTTTAGTTTAATTTAAGCTATTTTGATGTGTTTGGTTCAGCTTAACAATACAGTTTATAGCTTTTTGTAAGTCAAAAATCAACTTATTCTTTGAGTAGGGGAGGAGAAGCTTAATTTATAAGTCAAAAATCAGCTTATGTTCACAGTTATAAGTTATAAGCTGTTAAGCTATAAGCTATAATCACTTTCCCACAGCTCTACCAAACGGGGCCATTATTTGGTTCGTGGAGCTCGCCATATGGTCTAGACTGATGTATTGTTTGGATTTTTGGAATTCATCATATGTTCAGTTTTAACGATCTAAATTATTTAATTTTTTGAAACTCTTCGTGTATATCATTTATATAAAAAAAAAAATTAGATCAATTCTATAATTGTAATATATTCATTTTATCGTATTTATCTTTACAAAAATGAGATGTGTTTTTTTAAAGAGAAAATTAGTGTAAGGTCCCTCTCTCATACTTAGTAATAGAAGAGATCCACAATTTTATTTTATAATGTCTAAGGTCCCTCAACTCCTACACTGATATATCACAGAGAAATTTGACTCTCTCGAATCAAACCTCATTTTTTTTCTCTCTCTCTCTCTAAACTTCTCCCTCTCCAAAGATTTTGGGATTAAAAAAGGGTTGTTCTGTTGATGATGTTTGCCAGGCATAAAATATATATATATTACGCTCCATAATTCAACCAATCCAATGCAAGGCACCAACCAAAATTCGAAACAATTTCATTTCATTCCAATTCCAATTCATCAAAAAATGGATTTAAGGCTACACTCTCCAGCACATGATGGATGTGGCTGCCGTAGCCGAAGCTTCCGCCGACGCAGCTTCCACTGGCAAGTCGGTGAACGCAACGTTGCGCAACTACGTCCGTGACGCCAAGTCCATAGCGGTGACACATGCGGACGTGAAGGAGTACCCGAACTCGTACGTGTTCATCATCGACATGCCTAGGCTGAAGTCAGCGGACATCAAGGTTCAGGTGGAGGGCGACAATGTGCTTGTGATCAGCGGAGAGAGGAAGCGAGAGGACGAGAAAGATGGGGCTAAGTATTTGAGGATAGAACAGAGGGTTGGGAAGTTGATGAGGAAGTTTTTGTTGCCTGAGAATGCTAATACTGATAAGATCTCTGCTGTTTGTCAGGACGGTGTGCTCATTGAATTTCTCTGGAGCAGAATTTCTCTGAAGAGAAATTCCGAAGTGCAGAGAAAATTGGTCAAAACACAGAGAATCCAGAGAAATTCAGAAATTCAGAAATTCTGAATTGAGAAATTCAGAATTTCTCTGGATAGAAATTCCGAAGTCCAGAGAAATTTGGTTGAAACACAAAGAATCTAGAATCGAGAAATTCTGAAGTCCAGAGAAATTCTCTGGATTGAATTTTTTCTGGATCAATGTTGAGGGACCTTAGACATTATGAAAATATTTAGTGTCCTTTATGCTATAAAATCTTAATATCAGAGATCTTAAAAAAAATCTCATTTTTTAAAATAGACGATTTAATTGTTTTAAGACAAACACGATAAAATAAATATACTGCAATTATTGGATTAACTTAAATTTTTGTGTGAATGATATATATGAAAAGTCATAAAAAATAAACGACTTAAATTATTAAAATTAGACTTGTGATAAACTCCACAAATCCAAACAATACCTCTCAAATTCAAATCTGGAATGAAAAGAATCCCCAACTTGGTTCACAAATCTCCAAGAACAATAATCCCAAATAATTTTTAATAATTTTGGCATGGTTGGCCTTGCCAAGCCTGTCAAGATAATAATTATGAATTATTTTAACAATTATATATTTTGTTGGAGGTAAATTTCTTCTAGTTCAAAATTTAAATTGAAGAGTGTTATTTGGGTCCGTAGAATTTATTATAGGTCTTATTTTGATCATTTAAATTATTTATTTTATCTGACATTTTGTGTAATTCTTCGTAATGCACTTTGGAAACGATGTCATTTTTTTTATAAAAATAAAAAATAAAAAAAGAAAAGAAAATGGGTATTTATTATTACTATTATCTTTAAGTATTGCTTTTAAAATAACGTCATTTTAAAATATTATACATGATGTACTATAGATTATACATTACTGAATTGTGTTGCGTTGTACAATATGCATGATTAATGTTATGCCTTTTGAGAGGGAGTTTTTATTTGCATTGGGGCCGAGCTAGACCAAGGCATGGTAAATGGGCTGTTCTTTGGGCCGTGGTGAAAAGAGCTTAGCAAGTCGACCGCAGCCCAAGTGGTAGCTCGGTCCAAGTATGAAAAGGGCTCGGCAAGTGTTAGCTCGGTCCAAATGTGATTATATTCACCAGTCGGAGTAGAGATAGTTAGCTCGACCATAGCATTCGAAGCCGAAGTATGATGGCTTCTCATGGTGAACCTTGCATTGATTAGCGCGGTCGAGGCTTGCTAAAAGTTAGCTCGGTCTCAGCAGGCAACCGAGGTACAAGTGAACAAGAGTCGAGCTATAAGTTGCATGTGAAGGCGTAGGATTAAGTATGACAAAGTGCTAGTGTTAGCTCGGTCATACCTTCATCCAACCAAAGCAAAACCATCTCACTTGGTTTAA